GGCGGGCTTGCTTATCTGGCACATCTTCTTACGCTATTTGATTAATGCAAGAAAAGTCAACATTACTAAAGGTGTTTACTTTATTAGCTGTTATCTACACAATATATAAAGTCAATGTATCAAATTTTTGTGTCAAGATTGTGGCCAAACTGAGCGGGTTCTAAGAAAAAAAATTACACAGCATGAAAGCCCGAATTCAACTACATCCACGAAAAATAGGAAACCTCACCTCAAAATTCAGATCTCTGAGAAATTCATGAAAATGGAGGTTGGGGGAAAAAATGTAGAATCCGTATTCAATAACATTGGAAAAGGGGGAAAAACTTTTTTGTTATTCAGGTTGATGGTTCATTGTTGGACCAGGATTTATGTAAAAATTTGTCATTTGAGTAGAGTAAAGAAAGGCTTTTTTCACCATATTGTCTACCACAATCCAATACATCCGCCAAATCAACTAAAACTTCACTTTTTTGAAAGACTTTTCTCAACAAAATTGTCCACCACCATCTTGACCACTTTTACACCAGCTAGCATGTCCACTATTAATCGCCATCATATCTTAAAAAGTGGTCAAAAATTTGGTGGATAATTTTATAAGAAAAAGTGTTTGAAAATGTGGTGGAATAAAGCCACTCTAAAGTGGTTAATGAAAGTGGTGGACAAAAAAGTGATGTTTGATTTAGTTGATTTGGCGGATGTATTAGTATGGGTGGTGGACATTACCGTGAAAAGACGGTTAGCATGGGTGGTTAAAAGAAACTTGCGATCAGCCATGATCGCATTAGTTTCTTGTTAATAATAATAACAATGTTGATGCATATTGACAATATGATCAAACCGGTTTAATGCCGATAAACACCAAGTTTATTAATATCGGATATTGTCAAATAAAATATGTGTTGATTGGTTGAATCAATTAAAAGCCATTATTCATAAATTCAGTCATAAAACCTGGTTGATCAACTGTGCTTGAAACTTTGTTTAATTGTATTTTTTAAATTGTTTTTCAGACTTCATTGCTTATATACAGAATGGGTCGTAATGATATTGGCTTGACATTTGCTAATTTATTCACCATCTCAGCATCGTTTATCACTTCTCTCATTACTCTTTGTATAACATTCATTTTGGCCTTTCCAACAATTCAATTCTCAAGATAACATCCTGGTTAACAACACTCTCATGATTTTGTTTGATTGTAACTTTTAGCATGATATAATTTCCCTTTATTGTTTTATTTCATTGCTGTAATATCACTAACTGGAGTTTATCATTCATTCGATGTTCTTGTCACTGAATACTATCTTTGGATTCCCTTTATTCGAATAAATTGCTTCTTTTGAAATAAAATTCTTATATGTATTATTATTATATTATATTAACTACTAACTAACTAATAATAACTACTATTATCAATAACGAAAATATTGCACATCTTTTAAGCCTTTATTCCTGACGATTTATTTATGTTCATCACAAAACTGTTCTCATTGGTGGTGAATAAAACTCGCAGACATTTCTCTAACATGAAACAAATATTCAAAAGGCATATTGTTTTTACCAGTCTATGGACCATATGTGACTCGACGAAGTAAATTTACAGCAATAACGGAACCAATGCGTTGAGCTTCATAAAGAAAAGCCATTGTGAAAGGCATTCGATTCCTATCCGTATAAACAGGTTCTCTGTCAAATCCAATAACATCGGCTATTTCAGCTTGTACCTTGTATTATAAAAAAGTTAACTTTACCCTCACTAATGGTTGGTAAAAATTGTATTTCTTTACTTGTAGCCTTTTCCATTTTACTCGTACCAAAACTAAGACATTTAAGGGTAAACGTCTATAAGAACGCCAATGTTCATCAGACATCTCACGAAAGACGGATATTTGATCAATCCTTCAAAGAACAGTTCATGTGGCTTAGCAAGTAGAGACTCATCAGCAAACGCTAACTGATGATGATTCCAATCACAAATAACAACAACATCATGTTGTCCCAACTTTAAACTATAAACTGGTCCATACTTTTTGGATAAAGAATCAAACTCAAGGTAACTTTCGTCTTTCAGGAATGGATAATAACCAACAATTGGAAGTCCCCATGGTCCAGATGGTAATCGTTTGATCGTTGTTACAAGAAAATTGAACGCATATAAAAATATCAGCCAAGTTTCCATGTTGTATGAGGGTTGAGAAAAGATGAAATAATCTGTCCATTTATCAATACAGTCAAATCCTCGCAAATCATACTTTCGCACCAAGCTTTAGATAAGAAATGTCACCAATTCATCTTAAGCATCGGTCGAGATAAGCTTTTCAATGGATATTGCTTAAAATTATCTTCACATTATGAGCTATCCTTGATATGATCAGTTTTTTAGCTGATCTCATATCGAACACGCAATTTTGCATTGGAAAATATTGCAATGCCAATTGTAAGAATCATGATACATTTATTTATCTGATGAATTTCGAGATAAATTGAGCTTCAATAAATCTGAATGATAAGTATGTATTTAATGTGTTTTATTGAGCTAATTGTAAATCTAGTAAATATATTTCAAAGGTGAATCTTAATCCGATATTTTTTGCGTTTAAATGAGAACGAAGTCAGATTTATTTCATATTGATGATTTCGCTCAGATTAAACATTCTTAGACAGAAAATTTCTGTTTAAAAAAGTGAAAAATAGTTCTACATTATCCTTAACATTAGTGGTTTGTATTGACATGGCACAAATCATACTCTTTTCAACCATTTTATTCATGTTAATTGTGCTTCCCTCGACAACAACTACAGCAAATTGGAAAGAATGTTTCGATTTTTCGTGTCCGATAAAAAACGTTACATTTTTATTTGAAACCGATGATCACTTCGATGAAGTTAGGTCAGATATACATCTATCTTATTCAAATTCCAGTTTCGATGGAATCAAGTTTGAACTTGAAGCCAACAAATCTGACAATCTTAAGATGCTTATGATTCAGTGCGACGAGTACACTTCAAACGTTTTATTTACTTGTGGTGCCATTCCTGATTACTCGAACCAGCCAGAGATAAATGGAACTGCAATTTATTTGAATGGTAAAGTCTTCTGCTCCTGGTCTATAGAGATAAGTAACTCTACATTTCCTTTTGAGTTGATTGATCCACCTCAATATTACATCTCAGAAAGTGGATACCAAATACATTACGACTTGACCCAAACTGTACCTGTTGCTGCAGCCGACTACAGTCAGTTACCTAAAAATGTTAAACCATTTGTTGATGGCTATCAATACAAAGCTGTTGGGTCAGAGAAGTATCTGTTAATTGCTAGAGTAGCGAAAAAGAAAACTGAATTCTTATTAAAAGTTAATGGAGAAACCCCAAAATTAGTTGAAGTTAATTTAAAAAGCGACATAGGCATCGGAATTGTGTGCAATTTCGAGGAACAAGTCTTTACTATGTTCACAACATATCGAGGCGAGAAAACCAAGGAATTGTTTTTGGGTGGTGGGAAAATCGATGGAAATGAATGTCTCTGGACAATATCCGATTCATTGAAAATTCTTTCGGGGCCAGTAAAACTCAAGGAAACAACTTATGAATTGCAGATAATTGAGAACAAAAGATTTGTTTATTTTGCCGAAAATAATTTCAGTACAACACCGGCTTCTGCTTCCAGCTCATTGCAAACCGCAAGTTCATTGTTAATTTTCATGTTATTTTTTGTAATTTTTGCATAATCGAAAGTTACTTTGATTTGAATTGTAAAATTTATTATACTACACCGGAATCTTCATTGTTTAAACTTTTGTTTAATTCAGAGCGGTAATGTGCGTATTCAAACAAGATTGATTTTCCTATTTAATCTATTACTCTCTAATTTGCATGCATTCAACTTCGAACTTGCTGCATCACTATCAACCAAGATGAATATAAACTCAATTCTGCATTAAGTCTGAATAGATAATTTAGATTAACAGATAACAGAATAACAGGTTCAATTACTTATCGATAAGAAATGAGTCTCAGATCGTTGCTTTTTTCCAAAGCTCAAAGCGAAAAACTTTTCCATTAATCAAAGTTACCTCTTGTACAGAAACAGGAACTCATCGCAAAGGCTAATAATGTTGCTGAATTATAAAAAATCTGTGAAAAATTAAATCAGCCCTTCATCCTCCCATTTAACAGTCCAATCAATAATCTATATCTATACAATACATACATACATACATACAATATATAAAGTCAAAGCATCAAATTTTTGCGTCAAGATTGTGGTCCAACTGAGCGGGTTCTAAGAAAAAAAATTGCACAGCGTGAAAGCTCTAATTCAACTACAACGACGAAAAATAGGAAACCTGTCCTCAGAATCTCATGACCTCTGAGAAATTAATGAAAATAGAGACTGGGGGAAAAATGTAGAATCCGTATTCAATAACATCGAGAGAGGGGGAAAAACTTTTGTGTTATTCAGGTTGATGGTTGATTGTTGGACCAGGATTTTATGTAAAACTTTGTCATTTGAGTAAAGAGTAAAGAGGGGAACGACTTTTTTCGCCAGCTTTTTTACCGTTTATTCACCGTATTGTCCACCATATAAACAGCCACTCTAAAGTGATGGACAATTTAGTGGACAATTTTGTTGAGAAAAGTTTCTTTAAAAAGTGATGTTGTTTGATTCAGTTGATTTGGTAGATGTGTTGGATTGGGCGGTGGACAATACCGTGAAAAGACGGTTAGCATGGGTGGTTGAAAGAAATTTACGATCAGTCATGATCGTGTCTCAGCTTGTATAAATTAATGATTGAAACTCGAAAATCAAAACTCGAAATTATTATTTATGAATTTTTAATTATTCAAAAAAGAAATCATTATGGAATTGTTATATTGTAATATGAAGAGCTAATTATTTTTGATTGGCATCAACAAAGTATATCCATTAAAACTATTCAATCAATGAAAATTGAAGTCTATCATTTTATTGAGCTCTGGCCTCTTATCAGACACTCATTACTCGTCTACATCAGTTTAGTGTTCAATAACTAGTTCAATAAGTACTCAACAATGAAATTGAATATTCCCTTCAACGGCTCTTTGAGATTAATTCGTTTCAAGCTCGGCTCTACGTTTCAAGCCATGTGATCAATTGAGCTTGGAAAAGTACCAATTGAATGGATTGTAGGTGACCGCGATCAGAATGACACTTGTCATTCAGCCATTTGTTCAACACCTTTTCTCCAGTCAATTCAATCTGGCCTCAGTGATGCTTCATTCCCTGCCGAGGCAATGGAACAGTTTTCATTGGTTCCAGAAAACATGAGCTTCAGTTCAATGATGGACACTCAGGGCTGTGGTTTTATCAACCTTTACACGGAAACTTCAGTCAAGTCGAAATATCTTGGAATCTTGACCAGCTTTCAAGTAATCCAAATCAATGTTTACATTTTAATCGGTTTCTTGTTCGCCCTCGGAGTTTACATTTATTTAGTTCGTAATAAAAGTTCACCTTGGCCTTTCAAGGGTATAACAAAACGACTTATTGATTGAAAATTTGGATTCATAATTTTGGTAACTTGTTATTTGGCCGTCTATCACGTCTACGAATTATTATCCTCTACATTTAAGACCAACTATTCAATTCAATCTCGAGATGCACCCTTGCTTTATTTGGACGATCTCAACAAGTCAACTCAATCTGTATCTAGCATTCAGTATTCGTACTGTAGTCTTAATAAGAAGGATAATTCATTTTTGCAGATTAGTAAAAACTTTTATTTATTAATATTAACTCGATAAATTCATATAGTTTTGCAGGTCTCAATAGCTGCAAACAAACTAGATTCATTCACACCGGTATAGCCATTGAGAGGCCCCTTTACTACCCCAATTTTGTGGATACGCATTCTCAATGTTACAATATTTCTTGGTAATATGAGTTCTGTTGATGAAGCAAAGCGATTAAGGATAATTAGTAGAGTTTAAATTATAATTGGTTATATTTCAGGAAGACAACTCACTGGTTTGGTGTAGTTTCAGTCAAGTAAGCAGTCTGAAAGTTAACATCTTTAGCATACGAAGAATCCATGCTTTCCCATTCAAAACTCATCTGAGTAACTTGACTGAATGGCATATCTGATTTTATCGTAAAATTGTGCGACGCAGAACCTGCAAAGATCATACTGTGGAAATGACCATCAGTAAATAGCATGAACAAGAATAATCATAAATGGCTTACGATTCGTTCAATAAATGATTTGAATCAGAAACCGCTCCTATTGAAATATCTTTAAGTAACGAAACGGACAAGCGGAATGGACCAACTTGGGAATTCATTTCTCCGATTTCGAGGCCAATTGAATAAGTGTGTTCAATGCCATCTGAATGTAACACGAAAGTAAAATAATTAGAAAACAAGTAAAGAAATAAACATAATGAATAAGGTTCTAAGCTTTACCATGTTCATAATAGAAAGGCCAAAGTGGGTTAGCAAGTATAGTTGAACAAAAAGCAAATAAAACAAAAATCACAGCCTTTGTCATAATTTCAAGCTTATAAAACACTGAATAAGTAAAACTACACAATAATTTAATCAATAGAAGCGTATTATTTCTAAAAGAGAAGTCATCTAAATCTAATTTTAAACGATATTTTATATGCAACGAAATCTTGATATCAAATATTGTTATTCTCACAACCCCATTCGAAATGAGTCACGCATTTTTTGTGTATTTTGCAAGGTGGATCTGTAATTTATTGATTGAAAATCATGCGATTTGATTTGTTGAGTAAATTGTATTGAAAGATCATTTCTATCGTCGATAAAATCGGATTATCAGAAAAAAACAATTCATTAATCTTTCTCCTTTCTATTTTCAATCCAATTTTATCTTTATTAGCTCATTCATTTATCATTTCCAAGAATTTTGTAGTGTTATCATTATTGAAAAATTCCATGCAATACAATTTTCATGGTTGAACCATTGCCAAAAAGACCAATATTACACACGCTATGCATGTGATAGTTTGGTTTTGGTTGATTGATTGATTGACAACATCGCTAGCTTTCTAGTTTATTTAACAACAAATGGGTTGCGATGAGTTTTTTTGTTAAATAAGTTTTTGCTAATGTATTAACCCAAATATTATAACCCAAATGCGTTAAAGGAAAGTTGTTAAATTAAATTGAATTATTAATTAGTTAAGAATCAAATTGGTGAAAGAATGATGATTGTAACTGATGCCATTCTCGAAATATAGAGGCTCAAAGTTTTAAGGATAACGGCCAAAATCAAGAAAACTGTTGTTAAACCTATTCAATCCATGACGCGAATCCACAATTTTTGTGGACAAATAATAAGTTTCAGCCCTTTAACTCTTTTCTATTTCTCAATAATAACTGAAATTAATTAAAAAATTTGAAAAAAAGTGTTTCTGTACTATTATTCGAAAAAATTGTTCACTATTTTTATCTTGCAGTGAACTTGAGCAGTTACCATTATTGATACAGTGATCATTGATGTGAGTGATCATGCATCTCAACAAACTCACATTATTAATTTCCAAGCTTTACTGTGAAATCAATCTGTAAAACTAATTTACAGCGAATTAAAAATGATCTACAAAATGGATAACAGTTTTGATATATCGAGTATTTTCATGGTAATTGTCAACAAAAATAACAAAAAGTTTCTCTATTTTTTATTGGCATTCATTATGTTAACATCAACATCAATCGGAACAATTATCATGTACAATGCCTATCAAAACATTCTGATTGCTGAGACTTTGCGTGGAAAAAATATTTGTGTTTTGCAGTTTTCAGTTAAATTAATATGATTTAACCATTAAACTAACAATTGTAAGCATCATTAAACTATGAATGATAATTGCGAATCATATTAAATCTAAAAAATGTCAAATTTATTACGCCAAAATTAGAGCTAAAATTTGTGCGAATTTGTCAAACCTTTTTGAAATTGTCAAAAAATTTGCAACAAGAGTGATAGAAAATTTGACATTAAAACAATTGATGGAATGACGCCAGACTTTCTAACCTTCCCAATCATGTTTCATAAAAGTATTGATCGATGTTAATGAAATAAACTAGCAATTAGCTTCCTAATATTGATCAATTGTTTCTTTTTCTAATCAATCGTCGAAATTTTTTGCCAACGAATCTTATACTTATTCAATTGTCGTCAATTATGTTCGCAAATGTTGATTAAGATGCAGCGAAAAACAATATTGACGACTTTCATTCGAATCTTCTGTGTTGTTGTATTCATTTTTCAATTTTACTTGTTAACAAAAGATTATCTTCAATTCAATGTTGATAAGGAAGTGACCAATTATATCGACGATGCCATTGAAATACCTGAAGTTCATATTGCAATTCCATATTATTATGCTCTTGATATTAACTTATTACTCAATAATAAATCCAGTTTCCATCAAGCTTGTCGTGCGTTTTTCAATAAAGACAATTGTAATAATCTCGTAACCGATTTCGCCACATTTGGCAAATGGGTTGGTCACACATTGACACTATCTGATATTGCAAAGTATTCATATCTAACTGAAACATTTATAAAGAAAATTTATTGGTCTAGATCATCAGAAGATCCATTGAAGACTGGCAAGTGTAAGATTATTCGCAAGGCAAGCTCGACAACTCTGGTATTGGTTATTCGTTGTGTGAATTCGCATGGTTTACCACTGAAACTATCCCGAGCTAAAGCAATTATATTCAATTCTAATGCTTTATTCAATTTTACCTTAAATACAACGATGATGCTAATGAAGCTTAATTACCCAGGAAAAGCATTGATTGATGATAGCAGTCTTCATCTTGTTGGTTTTTCCACTAAAGGGAAGCAAACATGGCTTGGAATTCGTTTCACAAAACACACGGAAACCTCGTTACCTCCGCCGTATAAAACAATGTGTAGAAACTATGATCGACGTAAAACATTTGAAGATTGTTTGAACGCTCATTCTATTGAACAAACTGGAATGCTTTTCCCTGGGACTGCAGTTTCTTTAGACAAGTACAGTACATCAAGTCAAATGCGTTTCAATTCACCTTTCTATGGAAATAGCAGTTCCATCATAATGAAAATATATCGTCAATGTCAATCAGTCGTAACTCAACAAATGTGTAACATGGTGCGCTATTCATATAGAATGGTCACAAGCTCTCAAGATATTGCACAAGATGGACAAAAGATGAGAATATTCTTCACAGCAACTGCAGAACCTGGCTCTTTGACTGAGAGTAAACCAGATTTTCCTCTTTCTGATTACCTGATTCTGAGTGGCAGCTTATTCAGCACTTGGTTTGGCATCAGCATAATGGGACAATTACTTGCTGCAAGTCACCTGCTTTGCAAACCTTATCGGAAAAGTACTGATAAAGTCGACTTTAAGACTAAAATTCGGCCTAATAGAACTGCGATAAATACAATTAGACCTAGGTATAATAAAAGTCATAACAACTTGACAATAATATCACCATTAGCATGAAATTTTGTACGTGGTTTGGTGTCAGCATAATGGGTCAATTACTCGCTGCAAGTGACTTGCTTAAACCTTGACGGTGAAAGAAGAGTTGGGGCTGAGAATGCAAATGCCGAATCAGATATTCAAGCTGATTCTCTACTTTCTTTGTTCTTTCAAGCAAACGAAACATCTTAATGTAAAGACAAAATGCTATTAGATGCTAAAAGCAAGTACTCCTATTGATTATAAGCTAGTCACAGATCATTAATTTGGTTAAAGAGATAAATATCAAAAAATATTAATCAAAATAAAATTTCCTCATTCCGATCGATATACATATGTATTTAAACTAAAGACTGAATATTTTCCTTTGGTTTAATAATAACAAGAGGCTGACACAGTCATGGCTGATCGCAAGTTTCTTTCGTCCTAATAAAACCAAATTTAAAAACTCTAATTTAGAACAAAAATATAATTTCAAGAATCGTAATCGTCAGAATGAGCAATCCAAAAGTTGAAATCTTTAGCTTTTGTCACATTAGCAATATTCATTGAGGAAACAAAACCTTTCTTTGAGCACACTCAAAAATTTTCATTCGAGTTGAGTTGAGCCTTTTTTGGTTGTAACGCATAAAATTGATTCCATTAGTTGAATGAAAAGTTTCTTTGATGGACAATCATTGGCAAAATTTGGTTTGAAGTTGAAACTTTGATCTCTTTTTGTACAGTTGAGACACATTTCAATCTAACTCTTTACTCGAAAGACAGTTTTACTTATCCTCCTAATCCAACAATAAACCTAAACAACCCAAAATTTTTTGCCCCTAAATACGCTGCTAAAGGATAAGGATTCTGAATTTTCACCCACCCTGTTTAAACATGAATTTCTCACTAACTTGAATTCCGACAAAGCTCAGACTATTTTTCGTAATTGTAGTTCAATCATGACTTCAATCCTATCCAAAAATTTTCTTTAGAATCCGTTTAGTTTGATCACAATCTCCCTGCAAAAATTTCGCAGTTTGACTTTATATATTGTGTATGTATAGATATGACGAGCTAATTGTATATAATAGATAATAATATTGCTGAATCATAAAATCTATCATCTATCATGGAATCTATTAGAAATAAAATTAAAACAATCCTTTTTCCTTCCATTTAGTAGTCAATCAATAATGTAAGCTAAATAAAAACTCGAAATTATTATTTATGAATTTTTAATTATTAAAAAAATAAATTATTATGCAATTGTTTCATTGGAATATGAAGAACTAATTGTTTCATTATTTTTGATTGGCATCAACAAAGTATATCAATTAAAACTATTCAACCAATGAAAATTGAAGTCTATCATTTTATTGAGTTCTGGCCTCGAAACAAAAGATTTGTTTATTTTGCCGAAAATAATTTCAGTACCACACCGTCTTCTGCTTCCAGCTCATTGCAAACCGCAAGTTCATTGTTGATTTTCATGTTATTTTTTGTAATTTTTGCATAATCGAAAGTAACTTAGCTTTAAATTTCACAATCTGTTATAATACTATACCAGCACTTGTGTTTAAAAATTTGATGCATTTAGAGCGGTAATGTGCGCAAAGATTTATTTTCTTATCCAATTAATCAGTCTCTGAATTTCATGTATTCAACTTTGAACTTGCTAAATCATCTAATTAATCTCGTCAAATTAATTACAATGACATTTCGAATAATAACTCAATAAATACACTTTCATATAAGTTCAAATTAGGTACAAAAGAATAGATAGTAACCATGCTCATCAAAATCAGAACCGATATCAAAATTTGCCTTTCTTTCAATATTCTACGGTATGGTTAGTCAAGATTAGTCAATAATATTGGTTTTATCGGGTCAGGCTTAGGCACTAATGAAGCTTTTGTCGTCAAGATAAATTGATATTCTTTGCTTATTCATCCATTACAAAGCATGCAAATTGTCTAGTCCGAGTGAAACTCGCCTCGGCTTCTGAAGCATCACTAGTTCGTTCAACTTTTTTGTAACAACTGATATTAGTAGTCCTGCATTTCAACAAAACTTAACCTTCATTTCGAAGCTCTGTTAATGCTTTATCTATCAACTATAATATCAGTTACAAAGTATA